GGGGGGACAGGAGCTTATCCATTAAGCTATGGGACCCAAACCCCATATCACCCTTTTTTTTCTTCTTGCCCTTTGAATTTATGTTGGTATTTTGTTTTTGTAAAAGAAAAGATGATACTGATACGGCATGTGGCACCGGCCAATGATCGAAGGATTCATGCCTCTAGGAAGTTAGGGGCCTGAAGGGAGGCGAACGGCCACTAGGCAATGTCACACCTGGGCTTTTTTTTTAAGTTGAGTGAGTCACTTGTAGTGGTTAAGAAAATAATAACTATAGTTAAGAATTCTTGTAATTTTTGCTTGATTACATTCTAATAAAAAACAGTAGCAAGACATGCCAAAAAAAAAAAAAATTTTATTAAGATAACCCTGTTGTGTAACTAATAAAAAATATTTGTTACACAATTTTAAGCCTAACCTAACCAAAACCCTAACCCTAACTCTAACTCTTGCATAAATTATACTGTAATATATTTAAATTAATGCAAAATTTTACTAGATAACCCCTGTAACTAATAAAAATATTCTTTATACAATTTTACTAATAGGACAACCCCTGTTTTAATCTTAATTCTTATATTAAACTAATATTACACTTATTAGATTTCTACAAGGGGGGTGCACCAAATGCACGGGTGCACCGTTTAACATTTTCCTTTTATTAATACAAATTCTTCTTTCGTGAATTGTCGGTTAAGTTAAAAAAGATCTTAGGCTCAACGTTTATACGTAGTAAATTCATATGCTTTTATTATAATTTTTATTATATACAATACTCTAGAGAAGATGTACTATGCCTGATAATGCCATCATTCAAAAAGGTTTTGGTCTCAACCCTAATCGGATTATAATATTAAAATCAATCCAAAATACCAATATAAAAATAATAATAATAATAATATGAATTTACTTTGATGGCCCGTCTTCTTAACCCTTTCCAAACGCTCTTGCTCCAAACGTTCTTGTTCCAAACGCTCTTGCCTCAAACGTTCTCGTTCAAGTCGCTCTTGCTGTAATCGTGTTAACTTTTCTTGACGCTCTCGTTCTTTTGCCTGTTCTTCTAATACGCGCTGTATTTCCTTTTTGTCCGAAGACCATCAATCATTAAAGAATAGAGTTAGTTTTTGCTATGCTATGAATTATTTAAAACCAAATATCAAAAATAATAACCAACCGCCGAAGAACCTTGCCATGATGGATCTGAAAGCAATTGTTGTGTATGTATACTTTGCGACAATATATTTATCCATATATCTAATAATTGGTCTGTTTGCTCAACTGTGTTGGAAAATTGCTTAGATACGAATTAAATTTATGCAACGTACAAAATCAATAAATGAATTCAAAAAAAAAAAACCAATATTTTTATCGATTCTGTATCTCAAAATTTTATTAAAATCAGTAATCAATCAACTCTTCCTGATGATCACTCGTATCAAATCTATGACTAACGAAAATGGAAAACTTGTTGGAGAAAGTAGAAAGACAACTAAAATAACAGTTTTTATAGAGGTCAAAGTTTATTCTGCTTTTCTTCCGGACTCCTCTGTATATTTAGCAAGCAAGTTAAAAGCGTTCTTGTACAAAATAACTGGCAGAAAATGGTACCCTTGTACAAAAAAATTTGATAGAAGCATAGCTTCTGCTGATGAAGTGAAAGTTAGTTAGTCTAAAGGAGAACAACAAGCAAGTTTTCAACATACTCCTTATCGAAGTTTAAGGCTATCCACAAACCGAAACCTTCTTCCAAAACCCCACTCTCTGTTCTTTACGAAATTTCAACAAAAAGTGAAAAATACAGCATACCCCTATCAAAAGATCAACACAACAATCGCTACCAAAAAAGAAAAATCATGTACAGGAGTACGTATCTACTTTGGAATAAAAATCACATAAATTGGTTACCTCAAGAGGTTGCGGTATTTATACTGAGATTGCCAGAAGCTAGAAAATGGTAGCAATCATTCAACTTTGCCCAGAAACATGCACTCACATGACAATGCATTGCAGGATATTATGCCGAAGACCTGGTAGGACCGCAAAAGAAATTTCGAACTTGGATCTCTACTCAAAAATGGATATTTTATATATTCTAATATAGATATAAATAACTAGCGTAGAGTTTAGACTAGTTTATTTAGTAGTACTATATAA